AACCGCTCGCAAAAAAACAAACCATTGATGTCTCTCTGCCTGTTCATTTTTTAAACGCTCCTTATCTTGAGTTCAGCAGTTTGCTAACTCAGGAAAAGGGATGCACCCAAAAAAACAGACACGTGTTTACTGAGCTGAATGGTCAAAGCAGGACTCATAGGGGAAAAAAACTGCCCAATTAATGTTGAGTTTGAGACGTTGGTGATTTCACAAACTGAAGCGCAGGGAGGGATTTTAATTGTAAATTTGAACAATGGGAAAATAAATTAGAAAGTGAGAAATAATTAAGCTGATCTAGTGAAAAGTGACTCAAAGACAGAAAATGCAATTTTTTTCCAGCGGAAAAAAAACAGAGCGAAGGGAGATTGTGCTTTGCTCATTAGACAAGCCCATGTGCTGTGAAATGAGATGTGTGGGGTGAGGTTTTCATTTCCTGAGTCTCCCGAAAGGGCCTCCATTTCACCAGTGACCCCCCCCCATCACCGGCGCGTCTGCGGAATTCCCGGCGTGAGGTCAGGCCTGCCGGTTCCATGCCCAGAAAAAGGGGCGTGGTTACCGCGACACGCAGGTTGACACGTGACACGTGCACTGGTGAAGTTCACGGGAAATGACCCGTGTTGATTTTCGTTGTTACGTGATATTCTCTTATTTCCTTTACCCGCACTATGTCGCTAAGAATTCAGATTTCTGTTTTCTTAATAACATGCTTCACTGTTGCAGAAGACTAACGATTTTTAATTTTTTTTTGAACGCAGCACCCTGTTCTATGCGTTATTTCAGGGGCTGAAGTCGTTAATTATCACGTGGCTGTCTGTGTGTGGGTGTGGGGAGCGGAGCGAGACAGACATTCAGCAAGCGAGCCCAGCTAGCTAAGGAGATTATGCTAATGTGTCTCATTCAGAGTCAAACTTACCCAACACATGTCAGAGGTGCAGTATTTGTTCCCTCCAGCGATAAACAAATTATACATGAAATCAATTCCTTTTTACAATATTTTCCACCCTTGGGCGTCCCCCCCCCCACCCCTGGGGGCCTGGGGGCAGTGGAGTAACCAGCCAGAGTCACCCCATTTCGTAGGGCACCAGCTGCCTAGGTGCCATAGCCCCCCCCCGCTGGCTGGCTTTTTCCCTACAAACCCCCCCCCCCATCCTCGCTGAGCCGCTGAAAGGGGAGGTCCAATGGGCCAGGCTCCCCAGGGCCGCCACTCAGCCTTGGCACAAATCTCCCACGACTCGGAGATGTGTCCGGTTTGGGGGGGGGGGTGTACACAATCAGTCTGAGGCGGGGGCCAGAGAATTGGATGTGACTGCGAGAAGACCTTCGTGGCCAGTTAATGAGAGCGGCCCGCAGGTCCCTTGGGCCACTGGGGGGTCCTGTAAGCTCACTGGTGACGGCAATGAGTGCCCTGAACTGACCATGTAGATCAAGCAGCTCTGATGAAGGACCATCAGCAGCCTCACCTTTCAGGATGGATAGCACCAGTCAACAGATTTTGTCACTAAGGGGTGTCTTTTATTATTTTTTTTCTGTCCCGATTTCAGAAATGCACTCAGAATTTTGCCAACACCCATAGTTTCTGAGTGACGTCATTTTTAGGCTGTACTGACGGTGCATAATTCCTTATTAAGAATGTGTGGGTATATTAAGGTTTAATTTAGGATGAATGATTTAAATTCTATTTTTGGACATTTTTCAGACTTTACAGAAGGATGCAAAGTCCACACTAGACCCGCACATGTCGAAAAGAGAGGTGCGTTTGGAGCGTGGCAGGTTGTAAGATGGGTTTTTCCGAGCTGCAGCCCGATCGAGCCACGTCGACACGTACTGGAGATAAATTACCATGATAACACGCGCTGCCAAAGTTACAGCCTTACAGCCAAAAGACAGAAAATAAACTCCAGTCCAGTGAATAGCTTTGAGGTTTAATGAGGCAATTAAAATGTCATCAGAGCCCTGATCTGGGGTCTAACCTTCCCGCTGCCAAGGACGTAAAAAGTTAAAAGAGTTTTAGCCCCTCAAACAGCTTATTGACCAGAAATACTTTCAGGCTGAGAACCACCCCTACTTTTCGTTCTGGCTTGTCTCGATTTAGCTGATGTTGTGGACAAAATTACAAAGCAAGAAATAAGAACTCAATTTAGATGTAAATCAGAGCTTTGTTGCAATTCACTTGACGATAAAGGCAGTGGGACCCCCCATTAGTCGCGAGGTCTTATTACCACTGGCTGCCAATGAAAAATGGACGCCTTTTAGAGACCTTCGCAGAACTCCATTAAGGATTGTTGTGAAGTCCTCAAATCTTCAGTCAATAGAAACATGCTCAGCTCAGTTCATGAAATTGGTACTTGGGTGATAGTGGCTGTTTCAGATCCAGAGGTGATACCAAAGACTGATGGACTTTCAGCTGCACATGTAGCCTGGAATCTTCCAGAACCAGGTCATGTGGCATAAGAACCTCTGAGCTTCCAATGTAGGGTTTCTGTGACTGTAAGGCTGCCCTCACATGCCTTGAGCCACCCGGGCCTGAAGTGCACAAGAAGGGTGACCAAGCCCAGCTGCGCCGTCCCAGCGTCCTGCCTCCATAGCCCAGCCTGGGACTCAGACCGCACCCCCTCCGGCAGGCCAATGTGGGGACCAGGACCCGGCCTCTGGCTCGCTGTCTCGCTGCTATTCGCGTTTGCGTCCTGAAATGCAGCAACTTGAAATCATCATCTAGAGATGAACACCTGCCACTCACACCTCTCTCCCCATCTCCCTCTGCATTCTTCTCTTTCCTCTCTCTCTTTTTATCACTTTCTCCCCATCTCTTTCCATCTCCACTCTCCCACTAACTCTCCTTTTCCGTTCTCCTCTCTCCCCCTCTCTTCTCTTTCCCTCTCTCCCAATCTCACTCCTTCTCTCCCTAACGCCCCTTTTCTGTTCTTCCCTCTTCCCCCTCCTCCTTCTGTATTCTTCTCTTTCCCTCCCTCTCTTTTGTCTCTCTCTCCCCACTTCCTTCCATCTCCCTGCCTCTCCCTCTACTTTTCCGTCCTCCTCTCTCTCCCCCTCTCTCCCCGACATCCCCCACCCCCGTAACTGTCAGGTGGACATTGTCCCCTGTTCATTCAAGCATCCTTCCAGGCTATCCGCTCAGACAGCCCTTTATGTCAGTTCCACACAGGCCTGTCTTAAAGCAGCCAGAGAACACAAAAGCCGCTCCAGTGGGAATTTCCTGTGAGCCCTGGCTGGGCATAGCCCACGCAAAGGCGCTTCAATAAAACGCACACGCGACTTGGCCAGCTCCGCTCTGCTCACACTCAGCTCCCCGTCGGTCAGACATTTGGCGTTCTGTGGGTGAGGAGAGTCAGTGAAATTAACATCAAGCTTAAACACCCGAATTGCCAGTTATTCCTCATGGTGGATCGGTCAGAAGTCTGAATTAATCTTGTCCTTCCCCCACCATACTTCTTCAATTCTAATGTGTCTCACAAATCTGTGTTTTTTTTTTCCTGAACATTGCAGCAACACGTATATCTATAAATCAGAGACCAATCGCTCTTGGACTCTCCATGCGACGGACTTTCGGCTTTCAGCAACAAAGGAGGCCATTTCAATATGAATGCCACAGCAGAGCACGCACTGGGTTCGCACTGGGCTCATTTCCGTTCGGAGCAGAAAATCGTAGGGCTGCCTTTCTGTGCACAGACCCGAGACCCGGATCTCCCGCCGCTCTGCTTTGCTGGCCAATCCCAACACGATTTCCCCATGAACGGACTCCAACCTGCGTCGCCATGAACCGTAAACATGCTGACAGCGGCCAGGAAAAAACTTATGAGGCAAAAAAAAAACACATCAAAACTACTTTAAAAAAAAGAGGCACTCGCTAGATCACCTTTGACGGGACGTTTCTTTGTGGGCTCTGAACCGCTCTGTGGTTATTCTGACAGGCGTTTTGATCGGCCGCCCCTGACTGATGGTAAGACCTCCATCATTATAACACATAATGGCTTCAAATGAGGTCTCTCTCTCTGGAAAACTGTCCAAACCCTCCACTGGTCCTGGGGCCCAGCAGGAACCCATCAACATGCCATCAGCAGCAAAAAGAGAGAGGGTGGGAGGCGGGGGTCTTCCTCAGTTCCCTCAAAGACCCGCACGTCTCTTTGTGCACCTGCCAGTAATTCGAGATGTAATCCGCACCTTAAAGCTGTCATTTCGGGTTCGCTCAGTGCCATCATTACTCAACTAACAACGAAATTATTTGCAGCTGCTGACGGTCAATTACTTGTTTTTCTTTTCTTTCTTTCTTTTTTTTTTGCAAACCTTTTCACAACCCTGTTTAATGCAGACAGGGATCTATTATGGGCTTAATAAAAATGACCCTCACTGTTATGAAAGCAGAATTTTCCTAAAGAGACGAGGATGAGTGGTGAGACATTGGATGGATGGATAGATGGGCAGATTTTTCCGGGGTCAGGCCAGCTGGCACGTCTCCACTTTGGTTTTGTGCATGATGCCCTCCCTCACACCAAACACGCATCCTCAGATACCCAACATCGCCAATCTGTCCGAACCACATCAGGTCTAGCACTAGCCACAAATCCATACAACGGTAACATCCTGCCCATGAATTTCGGGTAACTTCCGAATCCTCGTCACGTTCTTCTCTGTCTGCATATAATATTGTGCTTAGCGGTATGACCCCAGATTAAAGGAGAACTGAAAGTGGAACAACAAGATGAAAACCACTGCAAATATCAAACCTCCACTGGATCACTCTGGGGTGTTTTATATTTAATAAGGAAGGATTGTAACACTATAATAGTATAAACTTTACATCTGGGCACAGCTGTGTAATGTCATGTTAATACATGGTATTAACAATCATATAAATAAGCAAATGTGTGTTGATGTCAAACTCAAAAAATTCCTCATAGTCAACACACTTGTTGATCAGGCTGTGGTCTGTCTGGCCACATCCACACGTGATGAACCTCCCCATCCGATCCCCGCGACGGACTCACCTGCTGCCCTCAGTTCTTGCCGGAGGCCTTGGCGTGACTTGCAGCTTTCCCGCTTGCTCGCCCGCTGTCCTCGGGCTGCAGTCTGACATTGGGGACGGTGAAGGTAGAAGACACTGTGGGGAAGGACGAGGAGAAGGTAGGGCCAGCTAAACCATCATATCGCCATAGCTACAATGACATGGTAGAGCCTGCCTCCAACAATGTGTGATTTTCAGACAGTTCTACATTTGTTAATTGTCCAGGGATATCCCTCATGGCTGAGACACTCCCTTTCTGCTGTGTTGTACAAAAGGAAACATATTATGACTGAAATCAGACTGACTCTTAGGCACTATTTTATCTTGTGACAAAATATCCTAGTTCTGCCGGTTTTGAAGAAAACTGTGAAAATTATGGTAACCACCAAATCCAAACCAAGCGCAAAATGCCCTTTTTCTTAGTCTCACTGTGAGTGTAGTTACTGTGTTTGTAGGGCATTGCTCCTCAACTCCTCAGCACCCTTAAATGTGCTAGCCTGAATTTTGCCCATGGCCTGACTTCTGGAGAAATTTAAGGTGCTGCCTGTAGAGCATGATTCATGATATAGCGAGCAGGATGCATTGTGGGCCGCCGTGAAGTCCGAATCGATGCCCACTAGCTCAAAAAATGGCAAGTCTTCCTTGCTATGATTTCACGTTAGACTGGGCATGCTCCGCCGTAAAGGCGAGCCCATGGAGGAGACCCCGTAGCATGCGGAAGCCATACGTGGCGATACTGCGGAGCCGCAGCCTCCGGTCTTTCCCTCGGGGCCTCGTGGCACCACCTGCCTCGACATTCTGGGAGGCGCCACAAGGGGCAGCCGCGAGCTCCCATGTCCACTGTGCGCTTGCCACGCTAACCAGCAACGTTCTGCACTGCTGCCTTTAAAACAGCCAAATGGCTATTTCAAAATTAGTTTAAATACTAGAACTCGTGGCCATAAGTGGAAACTAGCGGGAGAACATTTTAAAATGAATTTGAGGAAGCACTTCTTTACACGGCGTGTAGTTACAGTATGGAAAGTCTTCCTGCTAGTGTAGCGGAAGCTAAAACCATGGGTTCCTTTAAATCAGAGCTAGATAAGATTTTAGCAAGTCTGAGCTATTAGTTAAGTTCTCCCCAAACGAGCTCGATGGGCCGAATGGCCTCCTCTCCTTTGTAAATTTCTTATGTTCTTATAATTATGCTGTTCTCTTTTTTTTAACACGGTAACACTGGATGCATTTCCGAGACAGCAGGCGAAATGTCCTTAAGCAGAGAGCTTCACGGCAAGGCCAAGCAACCCACTGCAACCAGCGAGGCTTCGCCGGGAATGTGCCGTATCTTGTTTTCCAGCTGACTCCCATGGGTGTCTCAAAGGGATTAGCTGGTCGGGCTGAGGGCACAGAAAGGTGACGCCCGTGTCAGGACGGGCCTACGATGCGATTACGGTCCTCGGGCTAGACATGCGCACCCCCCCTGAGGAGGTCTTTGCTGGGCTCCGGTGACCCCTCATCCGTGGATCAGGAGAGCTTCTGTCTGGAACCGCAAGCCTCCCCTAAGTCTCGGTAAGGTGACGTGCACCCCCCCTTAACCACCCCCCCCCGACATACTAACAACTAGTGGTTATAATTATCTTCCTACAACAGAAACTCCGCTCCCCGAGACGTACTGTAAATTTCCACTGTAGGCAGTCAGAACAGCCTCCAGTTAGAAACAAAATTATTTAATCTTCGTTTTGCTCTTCAAAAGATATCAGCTTTTTTCCCCTTTCCCGTCCGTGTTCAGCGTTATGCAGCCAGTGAACCCCCCCCCCCCCATGCATGTCACACAACCTGCTGCCTGCTGATAGAAGGATTAATACCGGCAAAAAATCTTAATCTGTGAAATTACAAATTAAATTCTCATATTAAAATTAGCACCCCTGAGGTATTTTGCAGCCTGTGCTGTGATTCTTCCCCCCCCCCTCCCGGTTCAGCACACACATTGTGCTGGTTAATGACTCAGATGAGTCGCACTCTGCTGCTAGCCCTGCTCCGGTCTGATAATGTGGGGCCCCTGTCCCCCCCCCATCCTGGGATTTAGCCGCTGACTGATAAAACTAAGTGCCGACTGCGTAATGGACCCAAATTAGCGACTGGACACCCCAGCATCCTGAGTAGACCCCGCACTCTGCCGTTACCATGACACACAGCGGGACGAGCCTGTCGCCTCCTCGTGCAGGGGGCGGGCTGTCGACACACTGAGATGCAAGACGCACCCCCCACGCTCTTCTTACATCACCGGAGGTTGTACTGGTTCTACCAGGAGGACGAGCTTTTCATAAAGAGTTTCACCATAGGAGGTTTGATTGTCCTGGCTTGCACGCTTGTCTCCATGGTGCCCCTGTTTGGGTATTATTTTCCCAAACGATTCATGACTCAAGGAAAATCACGGGGAAGTTGAGCAGCTCATCCATATCGGTGCGCTTGCACCTCCTGGAACCTGCCGAATCCGATCGCTACCCGCGGTGCCAAACTGCCTTTAACTTCACGGCCTTCAGAACGGTAAATGACGGGGACCCGCTAAATTATCACCGCCGAACGGTCTCTGTAAAAGCTTCTGTCAACGGGAGTCCACGGAGAGACGGCACTTCAAAGACGTCCCTGTCAGCACTCAAAGTGACACCGTCACTTCCCAACCACAACTTTCATGTCAGCTGTTACAAGTCTAAACTATTAGCTCCTTTTTCTTGTAACGTCGCAAAGGATTTTTTTTTTCCAGCTGTTTGAATCCAGCAGGAATTTTGACGGGATGTTTGTTTTCCTCTTAACACCTTGACGTCCATGAGCCGGCTAGTCCTCCTGTACATTAAAGCTTCAATCACTAAATCTCATAATTATACCTCAGTAGCTACACTGAGTTGCACTGGGTTGATACTTTTCATAGGTATCTCTGTGATCTATATTAGTTGACTGATGCTCGTATCAAAGGTTGCTCTCCTTAACTAGCAGTGGGTTGAACCCCGGCTCAGACGGTTTAGGGGGCGACATCGGTCGACGAGGCACTGACTGTCAGGAAGCTCCCAGAGCCGCGGAGGAAGACTCCCGAAGTACTCGTGGCTGAGCGCTGCCTGCGCCGAGAGGCGGCTCTTGGGGAAGCACTGGAGCAGCCGTGAGGCGAGGTCCTCGGCATGGTCCGTGTGGCCGAGCCTGCGGGAGACACACACACGGCACTCGGTCATTAAGCACCACTGCCACCTCACCAGCGTTATAGTGACAGCAACATTTCACTGCTGAATCGCGGGAAAGAGAGAGCAAGGAGGGAGTGGTCTACAGAGAAGGTTCAGGCTGGGCCTGTGTCTCCTTCCCAGGCTCTCCAGCTCTGTGAGGCACGCTAGAGAGACGATCGAACTGCAAATGCCCTCAGGGCTATGGGGTTAAAGCCCGCTACACTTAATAAGGGATAGGGGTCCCAGGCTGCTACACTCCACAAGGGTTATGGGGTCCTGGCCTGTTAAATGCGTGCAATACGAGGGCATATTTATGCATAAACATTCTTTTTAAACACAGTATATCATGACCCTCACCTGTAGAAATGACCGTAATGTGACATGAGAAAAACAGCACATGTGCCAATCCTCAGATGTACCATACAGTCTGAAAACATAATGTAAGCCAACAATCAGTCATGTACAGTCATGGCTATAGTCCGGCATCATTTGACACTGCAATTATACCTTCTTAAAATAATAACCCAGGCCAAGTGCAGCATGATGAGATGAAATGCCCCACATATCACAGCAGCGATTGGCATTGCTAACAGTAATGTAAAGATGGCCGACCACATGTTAATGTTAATGCCCAGTTACATGTCAGTTCAGGTTTTTATTCTACAAAAGTGTAACAGAACTGACATATGTAAATATCTTTGTTTAAAGTCAAGTAAAAAAAAAAAAACTCACATAAGGCCAACAGAGATTTTAGATCTCAGCTGAACTCGGATGAACCATTACAATAAAGACCGTGAACGGGAGGGAAAATGCCAAAAAGCAATTAAGGAGTCCAAAAGCGATCAGGGGATAACGTTCGAAAATCAACACACAGCCGACGAGCTCCGGCATCTTAATTCCAGGACAAATAGAATTTTCCCCGCTGTTCTGCCACAAATACGCGGCTGGCCAACTCTGTAATGCCTTACTATCCTACAGCTACGGTTTACATCTTTGACTGGCAAGACACAGAAATCGTCTTTTAAAAAGAGAATCAACAGAAATACTCAAAAATCATCTTAGTGCTGGAACAGTTGCCCACTGCAGCGTTTACTGGAAAGGACTGTTTCCACATTATTCCTACATCACTTCTCTGTTCTTCAGAAGACTTTCAAATTCTGTGCTTAATTCTCAATGGATCCTGAAGCTCTCAGCAAGATCTCACTAAGGAGGATGCCTTCTGAAAGTGTAGAAATAGCAGTGCTCTTACAAACCCATATACAAGCTTTTGTTTTTCACTTGTTTACTCTTATTTAACACCATACTCTTCACACAATAGAGTAGGTATGTACATACTCGTCAGGAGACAAGAGAGGCTTCCATGGACTGCACAATACATGTTGTGAGCTTGGGGTCCAGAAGCAGAACACAGAAAACACCAATTCTTATAGCAATTATGATTGTACGCTTTGTTCCAGAACTTTCTAAATGGACATTATTGTGAATCTGGCCATAGATCAAAGACCTACGCCATGGAGGCTGACATTCTACAGGTTTCTGATTGGACGGCAGCCAGGTGGATGAGAGAGAGGGGTGGGGATCATCTCATCTTTTGTTTGTATTAGACTCATTAGCCACTAGTTCTGCAACTGTTTTATTCCTGAGTACATACTGTAGCACTTAAAAATTCAAATTTTTCTCCCCTCTTTTGAATATACTCATGGGCTTAACAACTAACCACAAACTGCAGTAACATTCATTTTAAATATCAGCGTAAACTGTCTTCATGACTAACAGAGTCTGGGTATAAAATCCAGAAACAGAATCAGGTGTCATTTTTGGAGAGTTTAACCTGGTTGGTAGGTAATCGGTGAGCATTAAGGGTCCCTGATGAAGACTGACCTTGACACAGACCCACACAAAGGGTGCAGCTCGACTCTCTCTCTCTTAACACCTGCCTCTGTACACACAGCAGGAAGCCCCCCCCCACCACCCCCTATCATTAATCTCAGCAAAATGCCCTTATGGGACTCAAGGTAAGAAAGGCCGGTCTACAGAGTTGTGCCGTTTTCCGCCAAGAAAACGCACCCCCCTGGATAAGCCATGACGACACGCTAGTAAAGAGGACTGAGGACCCAGGAAGACGGGGGGGGGGGGTGAGGGGCTGACAGTCAGCCCCGGACGCCAGCACAAGCCAAGGGGATATCCCTCTGCTCATTCTCATCCTCCCCTATAACTCCAACAAACATTTTAATTATTCCGAAGTACCAGGGAACGCGGAGGCCTGAGTGTCCCCATCGGCTCACGGAGTAGTGGTCAGCCACGAGCCCCCCCCATTAAAGAGAAGAACACAAATCCCTGCAAAAAAAGGCACAAGCGTCAGTTATTAACAGAGTCTAACTCTCCTAATTCTCCCGGAGGCTGGGGTTATTTACGCAGCGATTTACAAGGGGTGTCTTGAAAACTTTGTGTGCTTGTCCTGTGAGTTGTAGCAGGGGCTTGGCAGAAAAGGTCCTTCTCCCTGCAAACATTTTCCTTCTGCTGTGTAGCGTCACTCGATCAGCACACCGCAGACCCTTTTAAAAAGGCATCATTTTGGCTGGGTCATGTTTGGCTCTTTCACTCTTCTATGGCAGCGATTCTCAATCCATGGGTCACAACCCAAATGCATGTTCTTAAAGGGTCACGAGCCAGAGTTGGAAATGTAAGCATTTTAAAACCAGCAAGCTCCTAAGCTGATCCACGATCAGATTTCCCAGCCCCAATCCTAGAATTAGCCTATATGAATGAGTCTTGGGTCTGCAACCGCTTAGCGCAAAACTAAAGAACACTCAACCAGTCCAAGAAGTCAAACCACAGATGCTTAATTTAAAATTCACTGGCACATCCAATCAGATGTGTGCGATAGGCATTGATTGGCGTAAACTGCAGAGTGCACCGTGAGCTTGATCATAGTGTTAATTTAAACCTATACTTGATACAGGATTGCGACTGGGATGGCGTGGTAAAAACTGGGTCCCAGTGCAAAAAATTGAGAACCGCAGTTCTCTAGTATCTGACCCTGGAGGTTTGAATGGTGAAGTAAGGGAAGTGTGTGTGTGTGGGGGGGGGGGGTTGATTTTGTAAGGTTGATAGGTCACGTTTCAGACCAGCCATGCATACACTGGCGGGCGTCAAATCCGTAACTGGAGAGGTCAGCAGGGCAGCGAGAGTCAGCGCACGCAGTAGCAAGCAGACGTCAAACGTGAAAAAGGGGGGGGTTATTAGGTCAAGGAATCGGAATTACTGCAGAGCAAATTCAGCCTGAGAGCAACTGCTACCCTGCACCACATATTACAAAAATGATTTCCTTTGAACACTGGATGTGACACAGACGTCCCTCTCAAGAGCCTCACACCTGCTACCTCGTGGCTGAAGGGCAAATTGCGGTCACACTGACACTGTCAACTGTCGTCCTTTGATCCGGTTGATCAGCTCTGAGAAGGCAGAGCCAGCTCTTTGTATTACCCAACCCTGACGGACGGGCCCGAATGAAACCCAAACCCCTTTGTATCATCCCAGGTCTATATGCTGCCTGACACGCGCAGCACTGCAAACGCAGTGATGTTTACGCTCCCAGTGACACACCTGCTGATTTTCAGCACATCTGATTTTCAGGTGTTTTTCAGGATCACTGGACTCGCTTGCATTGGAAAACAGGGAATTGGTTCGTAATTGTAATTGGTGTAATTCTAGTTTTGCACGTTACGTTTTCATGATGTCCACCTAAGCTAAATAATTACATAAAGTCCATAAATCGGATACTCCCCCCCCCCAAGTCTGTCCTGTGGAAGTCGACCTTACGTTCTACCGAAGATTTGAACATGAACATGCAGTTTGTTTGTTCGCACAGTTGTGAATACATCATGAGCAGGTTGTGTGATAAAAATGCAGCCCAAACCCCCCCCAACCACCCCTGGGCAACCTGGAGAGTGGTTAGGGCATTCGCATTCCTAACAACTACGAGATTCGTTGGGTCCGTTGCTCTGGCAGGGCGGGTGATTGCCGGGCTGCATCTCAGCTATCACGCCTATCGATTTGCCGAGGTGAGTCCTTGCGGCGTGCAGCTGTGCCGGATAACGCCCTGGGCCCTGGATTGGTGTTACCAATCACCTAATGTCAGTTTGGTGACAGAGCAAAAGGGGCTCCATGGAAACATATGGAAGGTGGGGGGTCCCTCTAAAATAAACTGCTGATGTACAGCATGACCTAAGGCTCTTTGTAGGAACACAGTCCCTCCACATCTGCTCCAGCGAATGTGATCACTGCGCTGAACTGAACGAGGCATGAAGGTACCAACCCGAGACTCACAGCCACAGAGGGCAGACAGACTGAGAAAGTGAAGATAACGTTTGGAAAGATATTACAGCACTATCTGTGCTGGGATTAAACACCTGGGTACAGGAGGGACATGAGGTCACGTTTTAATGGAAACTCAGCTGGGATGTAGCGTTCAGTTAGTATATTTCTAACCAAATAAATCAAGGTAGATGATCATGCGCCCCTCCTGTGGTGACATCCAGTGCTGCTGACTGCAGCCCAAATTCAGGGCCCCACAGGAAGGAGTAAAAAATAAAAACTCTAGACACAGGAGTAGGATAAATACTCACTTGTATGTATTCACTTGTAGGTAGAGTATAAATACTTACTCACAAGTAAAGAATAAATACTTACTTGTAAGTACTCACTTGAATGCAAGGGATAAGTAGTCACTTGTAGGTGCTCATTTGTAAGTAAAGGAGAAGTACTCACATGTAGGTACTCAGTTATTGGCAAATTATAAGTACTCACTTGTAGGTAAAGGATAAGTACTCACTTGTTCCACGCATGTCTCAGCTTTTTGGGGCTGTACACAGTAAAACGTTCTGAAAAAGAGAGACAGAGTGGCTGTATGATCGATTCTCTACACGTTCAGCAATCAGCTAACGACAGTGGGATCGAGAGTATGGATGCTCCGCTGCAGGGCTGGGTTGTCAGCCTGGGCCTCCTGACGGCTTTTTGTCTTGCTTTGGGGAGCTCCCGCTCTTCTCGGTGACGTGTCACAGTACTCTACACGACGGACTCCTGTCAAATGATTTCCCACTGTGAAGCACGGGACAGCGAGCAACCCAGACGAAACCCTGTACTGGATGAACTTGTAACAAGCAGTACTGGAAAAAATGATGCCGGCCGTAGAATAACCGGGATATTTATGTAACACAGATTCATATCCACCTGCCAAAGATGACAGCGTTCAGTATGAAGACCTCGACATACACTCATGGTTACACACGGCAGCCTACGCACTAGGTCACTTTCACTTTCCTCGTTGCTGGATCAGAACCTCCAGAACAACCCCAGCTGACTTCAGCGAGCCAAAGACAAACTTAAGGAGAATGGGCCTTTTGTGGATGGATCTTCTGTTGGGCTCCCTCGAACCCTAAACTGTGGGGCATGTCACGCTGGTGCCCCATGCGGTGTATTTAACGTCTACATAAACGATACCCAGCATCTCCTGCCCACTGTGCTGTCATTCCAGAGTTGCAGTTGTTATTCGTCTTGTTTATTGTTCTGTACATGATTCTATGGGTTTCAAGTACATATTTCACTGCAACATCGATGACAAAGCGTTCCGAGTACCGGTCCTCCCCCTGCCTGTGGAGGACCCAGTTAAGAGCCTCCTGGTGTTTAGGTGACAGGAGGTGAGCAGGGAGGTCGCCCCCCACTCCCTGCACCCATGCGGAAGGGCTCTGGTGAGCCGGCTGGGGAGAGTGAAAGAGGCCGTCGGCCTGTGGGGGGGAGAGACGGTGTCTGTTTTGGTAATCCCCTCTGCTTGCACCCGTCTCTGAGGCTGCTGGGGGGGGCTCTCCGTTGCCGTTGGGCCGCGGTAATGAGGGCTGGCAGCGGCGGCGGGCCGCTTGTAATTTTGTGTGCCTCCCTACCGCGGAGCTATTGATCAGGACCAGCTGTGTAAGCCCTCCAGTGCCGTCCGTGGGAGAGACGTCTCCCTGCTGGATCGTGCTGTGTGAAGCCCTCCATCTTACGTGGGGTTGCAAATAAAAAGGCCAGAGAGGCCATTAGCCCATCCCCCCCCCCCAAATAGAGTTTACTCTACAACTGTGAGGATGACAGAGCTACTCCACTTAGTATGTAGAGCTAGTGGGAAAGCCCATATGATTCAGAGTATTGTTGCAGTGTAAAAAACTTAAAATCTCCCCAAAATTCACCTACTGCTTTCTTCTTCCTCCCTGACCAGAAATGCCATTTTTAGACAAAGGCACTTATTGTGAAAATGTGACTAAGAGACCCAGTAGCATTTCAAATGATTTGTTCAGGTGTTGCAGCCTCCGCGGGGTGTTGTGGTATGTTACAGCTCCTCAAGCGCAAAGCGGAGACCCAGAGAGACTCCATGAACCAACAGCGCCCTCTGCTGGCAAAGAGATGAACTACAACAGTGTACCATAGTCCTGGCTTGACAAATCAAGATACCACGGGAATTATCCCAACTTATCACTAGGGGCAAAACCTCCATTCTATGCCGTTCTTCTCTTTGTGGCTAAGATCATCACCAGAATCTTTAATGATATGCATATTCTCACCCATTCCTTAGAGGCCTGGTGCTTCTGAGCTAACCTAACCACGCACAAAGAAAACGCTGACCGCTCGATGAATCCGTGCCCAAGGTCGAGCAGACGTGTTCACCTGGTTTGAAGTGAGGCAAAGAGTGGACCCCTGGCCAGGTGTCTTCAGAGGGCGTGCCCAGGACCTGCCAATCAAAAAGAAGATGTCTGAATTGGGGGTATTACCATACAGGTGTGTCTAATCTGTAATAGGAAAGAGCATTTAACATTTAATTTGAGGAAGTAAACATTTCAGATAATAGGAAAGTTTTAATAAGCAGAGGCGGTGACTGAGCTGGATGAAGGCATATCAGAGGACAGCTATGTGACCAGAGAATATAATTACTATATAAACACAGCTGAAACCATAAGGGTCGTAATCAATCTATCCAACCTTCCTTTTGGACAGTGTCATCTGCTTCCTGCTTTCAATCACGAGCTTAAACTTTGAAGCTACTCCTGTGTAGATTTGTTTATGGGACACGATGGTCTTGGAGGAATTTAGGTGCTCCTGATGCTCGACAGGTCTGGCCATGTATGCAGGACTAGCCAAGCAGAGAAGATACAGGAACTCGGTCTGTTTTTATCTGGGATAGAAAACCAGCAGCATGGATGGGCTCCAGACCAGGATTGAAGGGCAGCCAGGCTCAGTGCTGGGGGGCCCAACAACCCAGGGGGATGGGGGGGGGGGGGGGGTGGCAGGGAGCGGCTGTTTTGTCAAAAACTGCCGTCCGCTTCCAAGCTGCCCAGCCTCCCCACTTCGGGGGGGTTTGAGAGTGACGGGACCCCCGGCGTTGAACAATGTCGTCGGGGTATCAGAGCATCTGCAGTGGGGGGAGTCACTCTGAATGGCAGGCCAGGAAAGGGGCAGAGCGCGGTGGGCCGCCAGAGACGCGGGGGAGGGCCACGCTCCATCAGGCGGGGCCCGCGGAGCCCCGTCGGCGCGGCTCTCTTTGCACCACTTCCCTGCCAAGTCACTGCTCCGTAAAAAAATAAATAAATAAGGCTGAGTCACGCTTCCACAACACAAGGCACAGGGAAGCCATCCACAAATCACACTCCCAACAAACACAGCGCCACAAAGGCAACAGACGCAACCTTCCCTTAGTGACAAATAAGCAAAATACATCTGTTCTTCTGCCCTTTGTTTCTTTTCTTTGGAGATATTTATTTAAGGCAAAAAAAAAAAAAAGCAGAATTGATTTGCAGCAAGAACTTGGACCGTTTGCCGTCTTTGAAACATATGTCTGGAAAAGGAAGAGAAGGGAATACTGAGGTTCTCGAGTCCCAGGTAGCGATTCCCTTCCTTGTGTAATTATATTGCTCAACGTCCCAACGTTTTATTAGTGAGTTACTCATTTGAAAGCTTGTTAATGAAAGATAAATAGTCTTTACAAGCTCACTGAGACATAAATCAGTCATGTATCTATTTTTCATGCGATCATTAAATACCAGTTGCATAGGGCTTAACCTTATAAATGCTTGTGTTTCATAAGGTTAATTTATGTATATTTTATAACCCTGGCACGCATATAATGCATACCATCCACGTTGTTATAATCGCATAAATTCAACTAAACAACAGGACTGTTGACAGGACTGTTGCATCAAACAGATGTCATTCTGAATTATGTACACAACAGATGTCATCTCATAACTGTTGGAAAGCAGGAATTCCTTTGTGTCATTTGGCCATGCTTAGAAAAAGTTTATCCCAGAATTCACCAGTACCAGATTATGATTGCTGCAATGTCCCTACAAAAATAGTTTAATTATTTAAACCATTTTAACTGTGCAGTAAAATCCCAGAGATTAAAAATGGCCACATTTAAATGTAGCTGGGCTTTTATAATGGAAAGTATCTGCTCCAGATAAGCATTACCAGTGGCTAGTTACAGCCGACATACTAGGGGTAGTAACTCTGAATAGGCAGCAGAGGGCGCCAATGCCCAGTAACTAAGTAGCGTGTTGAAATGAAGGACCTGAGCCTGGTTGGCTTGTGATGAGGGTGCTATTCAGGTTTCAAAAGAGGATCCATGATCATTTCTTTAGATTTAATGTAAAATGCTTGTTTACACAAATCATCCTCAAAAGAGTAAATATTAAATGCATTAAAATTCAGTTACTTAAGAAAACCAACTCTTCTGTACAACCACGATAGGACATTACAGCTATTATTTTGGACATTGTTGGGAAAAAAAATAGGATAATATTTCTATTTGTATTTTAGCATTAAGTCCATCCATCCATCCACCTTATCCTGTCTACCTCCATCTATCCTGGGGGGTCCGGAGCCCAACCCAGCCTTATGTATACTGTTCAAATCTAAATGTTATTATATTTGATTTTTAAAAACTAACTTCAACCTATATGTTTTTTCCCTTAAATCCCAGCATTTTGCCATTTAAAGGCATGATGCCCGCATCTCTGGATGGTGTGTCCGCGTAACCCGACCCAGCACCGGAGGACACGCGCAGATGAGCCGGAATTACCCTCACACCCCGGCCGTTAGAGACAAAGCCACAAAGGGTCATTATCCCGCTACTCACAAACCCCCCCTCCGCCCCCCCATGCACACGCTGAAGTCAATGAACCTCCGTGCTTCCACAGTACATACTGCTAATTACAGAGCAAAAAGGGAGCGGGTGGCACCAGGGCACTACCCCCCCACACGCCGTCTCCATCACGCGGCCAGCTCGACCCGGGGGTGCCCTAAGAGACCCTTATCAGCCAGACTCCATCTCACAGCGCCGGCAGACCCAGAGACACCGGGAAATATCCTTTGGACACATACCACTGAAATATCCATAAATACAATAAACACCAATAAACACAATAAGATACATCTGTTAAATATCTACCAGGGGGCAGTACATGTGTGCAATGATAGACTGACATCCCAGATCAGAAAACATGACTACAGAACGGATGGATTGGTGGATGGATGGATGGATACCACTCAGATACTGAAATACAGGTGCTCCTCGGCTTACGATACAGTTATGTTCTGATGTGCTCATCGTACGTAAGTGGAAAATAAGTCGTAAGTCGAATATGAATACTATAAATAAGCAAATAACTACTGTCACTGATTATGTACATTAATTAAAGTAATTACTCTAACTAACTAAATACCTGTACAATTTGGTCAAACACAGAAAAAAAAAGCACTGTCCTATAAAAACACCATGTGTTACGTTGTTAAACACTGCATGAGATGTTTACACTTGCGATCACTGCAGAGACTGGAGTGTGGCTGTGTGGGTGCTGCTATCGCCGACATCAGTAGACAGTGCCGTGCGGCGTATCGCCAGCCTGGGAACAGATCAAAATTCAATGCTGACTACCGATCACACTGCAAAATCACACTGCAAAATCACACTGCAAAATATTGTCAAAAGGCAAAATATCGCAAGTTGAAACATCTTAAATGCTCTGTTGACATTTTGGTCCTTCATCTTGTCCTGAGCGGGACAGTAACGCTCTGCTCACAAACTCGCGGCGCTCCACTTTGGCAGCCCTGCCAAATGCTTCTGAGCTCCACTAGGGGGCGGAGCGGGTTACATCTCCATCGAGGTCAGTCTGACACGCCAGCGAATTCCACTGCGTTTTTCACTGATCGCTCAGCACTGCAGGTCCTGTCCCGCTGAGGCTGGATGCTGAGCTTACTGCGGACCTCCACCCAATTAAACACGCCGCCGAAACCATCAAATCCAGCTCCTCAGAACCGATAGAACATACTCTGCTTCAAACCCCGAAGGACACATCAGAGTGACATTCCTTTGTGTGTTTAAACTGTCTGCAAACCCGAGTGACTCGTTGTGCATGTAAAAGAAAAAATAAATGGTGCCCTTGGCATTTAAAACAGCGAAAGAGTGACGGCACTTTGAAAAATGACATTTTAAACCAAAGGCAGTGGCTGCACATCCTGCCAGTGAGAGATAGAATGTGGCCTCTGAAAGGCTGCCGGTTCGCATCCCACAGAGGCCGCCGCCGGTTCGCGTCCCACAGAGGAGGCCGCCGGTTCTCGTGGGGATTCTGTAAAGATGGCGAACCTTCTCCTGATAAACTCCACCCCAACGGTCAAAAATGCTCACGTACTTAATGCTGCCCCAGAAAGCGTGATTCTGTTTACGGCAATTATTTGGTGCCGTGCCTGAAAGTGGGCTGGCCTGGTCGGGGGGGCTAAACGAATGACCGCGTTGATGAACTTTCCCCGCCTGATACCAGACAGTGATCAGTAGCACCTCTGGGGAGGCTCCTCTGGTCTGTATATACCCACCAACCATCTCTGAAGAAGTCTTCAAAGCCACCCCCCCCCCCCCAAAAACAGGGCGTCTCCGGCCCAACATGCCCCTTCTCGCCTTGCATGTCGTTGATAAAGATCGGATGCATGGCATGCGTTTAATATGCACGTTTTAATAATTTATTCCCACAGCACATTAATTCTACTCTCAATAATTAGTTTATGGAAAAATCACCCCTGGCTTTTTAAATATTTATGTATACGGTCCAGAATGTGGTAATACTTCATCTGATACGTATGTCATACATGGCAGCCCACGTCAATAAATCGCAGCTGCACATTAGCACTAAGGCATCCCGCACCCAAGTGACTCTTTCCATCAATTATCTCTGCAGCCGTGAGGCTCGCAGGTCTGATTTACATCCAAATGAGGCTCTTGGAGATGCCGTGTGCCCACCGGGCGGCGATGCGGTGAGAGGGCAGAGCCCTGCAGCCCAGGATGGATCAACGCAGAGGGAGGTACGGGACCCACCAGGAAGATCCGCTCCAGCTGGTCCTGGATATCCTTCATGCCGGGAAAGGCGGCCACCCCCTGGATCATTTCGACGAAGATGCATCCCACACCCCTGAGGTGAGAAGTGAGGATAGAGGATGTGAGTGAGGAGAAGCAGGGAGAAGGGGTTGGCCTTGGTGGCTGGCATGCAATCTGCCCCCACCAGCATCGCATGCCCCCACCAGCATCGCATGCCCCCACCAGCATCACATGCCCCCACCAGTGTTGCATGCCTGCACCAGCTCCGCATGCCCCCACTGGTGCTGCATGCCCCCACCAGTGTCTCGTGTCCCCACCAGCGTCAATTCCTTCACCAGCATCGCATGCCTTCACCAGCATCGCATGCCCCCACTAACATCAATGACCCCATTAGCGTCGCATGCCCCCACCAGCGCTGCATGCCCCCACCGGTGTCGCATGCCCCCACCAGCGCTGCATGCCTGTATCCTTGACGGTGGCTTTCAGCTACTCTGGAAATCTTTTAACTGAATTTCACTTAAGACTGCAAGCACCACTTCTAAATTAGTTCTAAATTAAATAACCAAACCTTCATTTTTTATTTTTAATCAACATCACAAAAACCTCCAAGCTTTCCTGATAATGAAAAAATATCTGTACTGAAGCCCAAGGTGAGGTTAAATATTATTCACTGTTAATTTTGCTGTGTCCTGTGTCATAGTCCAATCCGGGGCTGTCTAAAATATCTGTAACGTTTTACATAAATTACATTGTTATATTTGTTTGAGTCCAGGGAGAGATTTTTTTTTAAAATTCCGCAGTAATCAGGTCCCAGGTGTCACAATCATTCTGATTTCTGCAGTATTTCATCTTAATTTGCCCAAAAACGACCAAAGGCAGAATAACCTGCAAACCCGTTTCTCTTTACCACAAATGCTACCTTATTTGATATTTTCCCTCTACAATTAAGTTATCTCTCTTTCCTTCTGTCTTCCTATTACACTTATCTCATACCTTCCTACTCGTATCTTAATCTCTTATCGTACCACTGGGCCTCCTCTCAAATTCCCGTTACGCTAATGACCTGCTGTCAGTCACACAGACAGCTGGTCACGAGGGGCCAACTCTCACTCCACCGATTAACATACTGCTGCTGTCCTTACAGACGTCTTTGTGGTTTTTGTGCATCTGTGGGACTCAACTTGACTTCCCAATTTTATTCAAAATCAAAATCAAATTTTTTTTTCTTTGATTCGATTCTTAACCGGCAGCAAAGTAAACCTTGTCAGAGGAGAATGTTGTCGTCGTCAGGGGCCAAATACCGTGGTTATTCTGACGGACACTGTGATTAATTTTAACCACAGATATGGCACTTAACGGACACAGGTGAGTCCTTCAGCTGGAAAAGCATCCCAGTTGGCCACCTCATGGCACTGGCATAGAGGAGACAGTGGGGTCTCCCAGTCCCAGGAGCAATTGGGGTTAAGAACTGGCAACCTTCTCACAGAGACCCCTCCCCCACCAAAGAAATTAAGTTTTTTTGTTTAATACTATTTTGGTCAGGGCATAATTCCATAAATGTTATTTTATAGTTCGGATGTCTTTGTTCTAAAATGGTACAAATAAACATTTCTATGGGTAGGTGTGTCCGAAATTTTGACTGGCACTGTAGCCGGCCCCCTGGCATTACCGTCCCCTTATTCTCCTCGCCCCCGAAGCACCGCTCTTCTGCTTGGCACCTTACTTCAGGGGTGGACGGGCGTCGAAAAGCAGCCCAGTGCCAAGTTGGTCCCCTGTTGACCAGGGGCCTCGACCGACGGGATGGGCACCCCTGGTATACACGCTATATAATGCCAAGGTTAGGGAAGAAATGACGGCCCACAAGGAAAATTCCCAAGCTTCCCGATGGCCAGTCCGCACCTCTGCCTCACTCCGACTCTCCGTGGCGGCTTGAATCCTGTCCCCTGCCCTCACCGACGCTGCTGTTTCCACAGCCTCGTTTAAACATTTAGTCTGTACCCTTCGTTCCTCCACTCTCCATACCTCCACGCTCTGCCTACGCTCCTTTTTTTTACCTCACGACGGGTGGAACAGGCAGGCATGGGAACCTCACCATCACAGATGGCTTCAGCCACCTCCTCAGAAGACACCTCGAGCTTAACATCAGCCTGATGATCTGGCCAACAGTTACTCGAACATGATGGAAGGTACCAGAGCATTTATAAAGTCAGAATAAGCACTGAATAAACAGTGAGGATCTACTATGTTCCCTGTACACTCCACACACCCCTATCTCCCCTCATGCTACAATGTTATAACTCCCATAACATCCCATAATAATCATATTATTAATCTGCAGTCTGCTGCTCCCGTCCCCAGCATGCGGAATATGAAGAGAATCATTTTTCAGTAGCTTATGGCCGTGATTAAGATTTTTCCCCATATACCTAAAGTGCAGCAGATACCTTCTCAGCAAGTGCCGGCATGCATAAATCACCTCACGCACTTATAATCTCCTCAATACATCATTCCATCCCATAATAAGCGGGCTGCACGAAAAATAACGGAAGCCAATGGCAGTGTAACTAATGACTTGTGTGAGAGGGACTGCAATTAAAATAGTCCTATCGCAGGTAAGGATCCCTCGTGGGTATGACACTGGTGTTTAGCAGCTCTTCCCTTCTAGAACGTTCTAGCAGAGTGTAGAATCCCTTGAACTCCCCAGAGCACCATGTTCTTAGGTGAGTTTCAGAGCCTGGCACTGGGACATCGTGCTCCCCGAAAGCTGTCCTCACGCCTGTCTAGTCAGAGACTCTCGACGTTGAAACTTCTCAAAGTAGCTCCTGAGCTGAGGTCAGCAACCAATGTGTCCATTTTTCTCCCTCCATATATGCGTCTGACTAACATCACCCTCTCTGAGGACGGTCAGCACCACTCACACCTGGATGTCCGCTGGTGATGCAGACACATGAAGACATTTGTTTATTTCCCCCCCCCATGTTTATAAACTGATGCTACAACTGAGTAGTGTACTGGAGAACATCCCATACTTGCCCTTACCGTCACAGGGCTACAGCAGTAGGACTAACTCGTGCTTTAGCACGATAAAGCAGGTATTTGCTCAGGGTTACTGCATATACCGAACGTCATTAGCTCTGGTCGCTAACTAAAGAGTAACAACATTCATAATCTAGCTTTTTCAAGCAAGAGCAAGTTTTTAGTACCGATAACAGATATAACCTGCTATCAGTTTAAAGTACTTCAGCATAACCACATCTGGACATTATTTGCTGCACTTGGTTCTATAAGTTTGCTTTTTCCTGTTTAGTCTCGCAAACACTGATTGGCCCACTTGTTTCAATGTTCGATTGGCACATGATGAGGATCATACCCGTTCCAGGGGTTTATGGGCCGCCGGAGCGTCAGCAGAGGAGATGGACTGCATTGCGGACACTCACCACATGTCCAGGCAGGTCGAGTAGTCGGTGGAACCCAACAGGACGTCCGGTGGTCTGTACCAGAGTGTCACCACCTCATTGGAGTACGTGTGGCTGGGGACCGACTTGGCACGGGCGAGCCCTGTTCCAGGACATCAAGGAGAGAAGGTCAGGAGGCCCTGAGGCCGGGGAACATGGCAGCAGGGGGGAGGCACTGAACAAGCAGGCAGCTCCATTGTACTCAGCTAAACCTTAGAATGTGCAGACAAAGTCAGATAAATAACAGACTAAAAAATGACATTAATGTTGAGTCAAAATATTTAAGTATTTAAGCTGTTCATCTGACAACTAATACTTACTGAATATGACCGAACAGCCATTTCATGCAAGGAATAGCAAAAATAACTCCTGAGTGCACTCCTGAGGACCAGAGGGTGTGCTGGCAGAACTCTTAGGGGTGAAATATAAAGGGAGTGCTGGCTGTGTCTGTGTCAGGGTTCAGCACGGCCAAAAGGGGGCGATAGAGAGACGGAGCAGGGTATGGCTGGCTGAGAGTGTACAGCACTACACTTTTAGCAGGCTCTGCGTGCTAATCACCACCCCCACCCACCCTAGTGGCGTTGTCATGGTTACACCACAGGGAGGCCTAACTTTCTTTAAAGGGATGGGACTCCGCAAGCAGCCATTATATCAGTACATTTACACAAAGCCCCCCCCCCCTGGTGAGAGAAAGCTGCGGGTATCACAGAATAACTCCGGCGGCGCGGAGCTGGGTGCTCCAAGCTCAAAGCCGACGGCCCCATTTCGGCGGAGCCGCGGACCCAGAAGCGAAGGTCAGACAAGGCAGATCTCTGAATTATACATCACACATCCTGGAGCATCAAAGGAGCTCAGGGCGCGTGAGGGTGACACCTCAGTCACTCCCCCACCCCCCCCCCCCTCCCCACCAGCGCTGTGTCATCCTGTCAATATGTCCTGGTTTCATAATATTGGTGGAATTCACTTTATCTTATTATCAAGTAAATTCCTGTTTCTTTGGTCTGTTTCGTAACAGGAACCGTCGAGCGGTAAAGCAAACCTCACCAGCGATGATGGTTGAGGCTGCGATAAAAGCCTGTTTGACATGTAGCCAGTCAGCTAAAGAAGTGGAAAATTTTGATATAGTAGGATAAACCAGACAGGTAAAAGAACAAAGTTATTGTGTGTGATACAGTAAAATAATAATGGATGTATGAAATGCTTCAATTTGGATTTTGTCCATCCATCCATCCATCCATGCCCATTTGTCATATACAGGTCTGCAGGGAAATATCCCAGAATAACCCAGGAAGGGATGCCAGCCAATTGTAGGGGTGCTTTGCAAAACACTCAGGCAGTCAAACTAAACGTTTAAAGCTATTTATCTGGGTAGTAAGTGTATAAAAAACAATTTAACATTATAACATATGCAAATTAAGAATAACACAATAAAAACTAACCAGAATTTCTGCTGTTCTACAAAAAGTTACTGCTATCTAGTTGGATGGCTAGATGAACACTGCTTCAGTTCCCAAACCTCTCCTCAGGGGCACCTCAGCCGTTCCATGTGTTTGTCATCGATAGCTCACTTAATTAATTAATCCAATTAGCTAAATAACTCAATTAGCTATTGATTAACCATATGTGGTGTGCTAGTTGGTATGTCAGATGGTTACTGCAAATACTGGTGTGATTTTAAGAGAGGTTTTGAAATGGCTAAATTGACACACTTTGACAAGACATAACGTCATAATTTTACACCAACGTGAAATTAATTTTAGCACTATTTTTTTTGACTGCATAAGAGTTGCACTGTACAGTAATTGAATATTCAGATTAATATTGCTTGATATCCAGATTCGGCTTTCCGAATGGCCTCCATTAGCCATGTCACTGCATTCTTTCCAGTGATCCAGAGAAAGCCGTCACTGATATACAGTCAGCTGTCTTCTTCAGAGACGCCCACTGGTTCGATGGCCTCTTCGCCGTGATGGGGCTCGCCGGCAGAGCCCCGGCTGGCTTCTCCTCCTGCCAGCGCTGACGTCCTGTCACCAGACGTCCGGGGAGATCCTCCCTCAGCGCCGTGCCTCTTCCAAGAGGAGCCTTCATCTCTGGCGCGTCGCCCGTCTCCTCGGAGCGCGGCATGGAGGGAGCCGCCTTTTAATTAGGAGACTTACTGGTGTTTTTAACTTCCGCCAGCATGATTTCACTGCTGGCATCAGAGCCTAAGCTCACAGCCACATGGATCGGTTGCATTTAACGCCCTTTGACGAGTCATAGGGTAACAATGTGCATATATTTCACATCTATGAACAGATTACACGGTCAGGTTATATGTTAAGAGCGATGTGGAGATATAAACATATTCTATTGTGTCTGAAAGAGGAGCTGAGTGGGGACTCTCTCTCCCAAACAGTACTTTGTATTTTACAGACATTACCATCCACTGTAGAAGGAATTATGTGTTGAGCTGGCAACGTTAATCTCAACCAGCTGCATATGTGCCTCCTATTGGTAGGGAAAAGCTCTGCTCCTGCTTTGCTGGGTTCAGCATTGGCAGAAAGAAGTTTTTTTTTTTTTTAAAACGCCACTGACTACTTTGGGGTATATATATGTGTGTGTGTGTGTGTGTGTGTGTGTGTGTGTGAGTGTGTGCTTTTTTTTTTTTCTTTTAATCTTCGTTAACGCAGCTATTTGTACTGCACACACACATGAACACAAACTAGAACCAACCCCTGATCTCAGTGTAAGCCGGTGCGCAGCTATTTTAGTAGAAAAAAACTGCACTTCACGATGAAACCGGCATCCAGACAAGACACCCCCTGTAAAGACCCTGCAGCAAGTTCCCCTCCAGCTC